AATCCCCACCACGCTCCTCCACGCACCGCAACTGCCGGTGGTGGTTCGGGGTACTATTCCGACGACGGACCAACCCTAGAATCGCCGGTCAAGACCTACACCAAAATGTTCGTAATACTAAGTAGAACAACTTTAATTCTTACCTCAAGGTCCGTTTCGAAGTGTAAGTGGCTCAAACCGCCGGTTGAAGTCGTTGACTTCACTAATGACTAACCAACTTCATGGCATCACCGTGCCTTCACTACACCTCCGATGGCCCCGATTCTTCTTGGGTTATGCTCACGAGATAGCAGGCTTTCAATCTGGGTGGGTGACGTTGATCACCTCCACCGTACACCGCCGCAGAAACCGCCGGAATTCACCTCTCTGACGAGCTCTCAAACCTCCGGACTAAAATGAAAATTTTTGACTTGCACAATAGCCCTCCACAATTTATAAACCAAAAATCTTTCACTGTTTAATTTTGCAATTAAGGTCTTGAAACTTCAAACGAGCATAACTTCTTCGTGTCAACTCTGATTCACGAACCGTTTGCGCCTACACGTTCGTGATATAAAGCTCGATTTTCCAATCCAAAAATTACAATTTTCTCAATTCAATTTCCTGAACATCCTTTGAAAAATCATAAACTTAATCGTAAGGGCATTTTTGTCCCAATTTGAGACTAAACTCACTTAATTCCAATATTTTCACATCAAACCAAATTCATAAAACATCCAATATAGTCACACGACTTAATACGATTTTCCACAAAAATAATAAAACCAAATATTATTTTTGAGGTTATTACAATTGAGTAGTAGTCTTTGTCTTCTTCGTCACCTACCAACCCTTACTATATGTGGTTTCTCATCCAATGGTTCTTGTATCTCCTCCTTGATGATTCTTTGAGCTCTTCTACTAGCTGAGGTGGACGAAGCTGTTGGTTTTCGCTTCTTTTGCTGATCAGATATTTCATACTCCATGGCTGGGGAATCATCAAACATCATATTGATCCCCATTTTTTCCATTTTCTCCATTTCCTCCATGTTGCTACCGAAACAACTTGATCTTCCATCAGGGGCTCCGTTGCCGTATATTTTAGTCAAATCATTATAAGTTCTGTCCAAGATTCTATTTGCACATGCAATTGGATATGGATGCTCCTGCAAAATATCATATTGACATGAAAGAAACGCATGTCACCAAATCAGGAAAGTGTCTCCTGAGCCCAAAGCTACTCAGGGTTCACTTCATGCAAAGGGATAGCATACTTTACCAACAAGTTCATTCAACATGCACATACAAAACTTGCACACACTTCATGTTGAAGAAGCTGTAATTAGTACTAGAAATAGGAAACTCCTTTTGTCCTAGGCAGCAACTAGTGAGAAAAACACGCACCTTGATATTGTTTGCTGAGTTTCATCCCCTGCAAAACAAGTTCGTATTGAGAAAGTTTCTGACGTCCTAAAACATTTGTAATAAATTCATTCCATTGCAATAACCAGAGAGTCGAGCAGAATACACCTATGGCATTGTGAGAAAGGGAGAGAGGGCCGCACACCAAGATTAACTCCCAGATCATCATCCATGACATCCATAGTGTGACTTGAAGTACTCTCCCTTTTAAAATGGTCTCCATTTCCACATATCAAGTACAAATCATTGCAATTTGGGAGAGTTTGATTGCGGTATATGATCGTGCATCAGGGTGTTCCTGCACCAGAACATGTGAGCTGTTAGCCTGCTATAGACATACAATTCTTATGCAATCAAAAATTCAACAAAAGACACACCTTGGCATTAGCATCCCAAAGATGATCATCAGCAGTTACCATCTGTTGCATTTCATCCCAAACAAACCCACTCTGGTCAAGTGGAAACCATATCAGTCCAGGCTAGTCTGCTGAATTTATAGTTAACAATACTTCGATTGCGAACTTGCTCCAACATTAGATCAATGAAATATCGATCCATTGGAGGTGTCCAATCAGTTCTTCACTGATAGCTATGGTTATACATAGCTGCTTTAGAAATAAAACAACAATTCATGTATAAGGAAAATTTTCTTTTTTTGATTCATCAAGTATATTAAAATTGCTTAATGAAAGACAAAAGCAATCACGTTGGTTATATCTAGCAAACCAGGCAGAGCTTCAGACAGCCATGATATGTCACTTGTCATGTCAACAAGCTCAAAGGTAATTGATGTGACATACTTTTTATAAGCACATTTCAAACCCAACAAAACTATCAGAGACTACAGTAATGTTTCCAGCATAAGCTTCAGAAAAAAAACAAAAGAGGTGAATGCTTGGCACATTATTCATAATATAGGAAATGTAATTCATCACTTCAATTTCTTCCAATAGAATTTTCATAAAATCAATTACAATCATTGGGATCATTGTGATCATTGTGGCACACCAGCTACATCTATATGTATACTGCGAACAAATTTAGTACCCAAAATTCATGGGTAAGAACAAAGAAACCCCAATGAATTCCTTCAAATTAAGAACCCTAGCTAGGTACTACATAACACAATCGATTTCATCACTTTCCCTCAAATAGAATGTGAGATCGTGGTGGACTGTACAAAAATTTGTACCCAATAATCATGCTTAAGTGTGTTAAAAAAAAAAAAAATCATGGATAAAGTTTGAAATGAACTTGGTTGATCGTGCTCAATAATCTTCACAGTCGGAGTCTGACGGCATATCATCAAAGAAAGTAAGCAAAAAGTGAAGGTCATAATCCCATTTCAAAAATTCATCCAGGTCAGGAATTGGACCCGGCACGTTGTAAAGAGCCATCTTTCTAACTGCCATTTGCACAACTGATGATGTTGTTGATGATCCTTTTAGTATTTCTTCATCTTCACGCCCTTCAACGTTACAAGATGGCGATGATGATCGAGATGACAAACAAATTTGCTTATTATTCTTGCCAATATAGTTCTTCTTGCTCTCTCTTTTCTTGCTTGTTTCTTGCGTCTCAAGGTTTTTTGGACAAGGAGGGTTTCTCTCCAGCATCCGAATCTCGTGCACTATTTCAAATTTCTTTTTCTTGGGTTGTTTGTTAACGGCTACATTAGTTTCTCCGGTGTCTGTAGAAGACTCCGTTTCATACGGGTCCAAAACCCGGATCCGAACCACCTTCAACCTTCCCTTCTTTTCTTCATGTTCTTGTTCTTGTGGCGCTGTCTTCTGGCCTCCGCGTGCTGTTGGTCTTAGGCTGTAATTGCTTTGGATTTTAGTGGATGAAACGGTGCGTTTGGTGGTGGGAATATGGAGTTGGCGTTCATGTTCTTGCTGGGCTGCCGCCGCCTCTTGTTTTCTCCTCCGGCCGCTGCAATTACTTCGGGGTTTGGTGGACCAAACGGTGCGTTCGATGGCATTGTTGTTGGCGGGGTTGCTATTGGGAGCAGCGAGAGCAAGGACAATTTGTGGCATGGGGGCTTGTCTTGTTTTTCTTTTTCTGGACGAAGCAGAAGGACTTGAAGCCTCCATGATGATCGGTGTGTGCTTGATTCGCAAAGCAACTTTCAAGAATGAAAGGGAAGTGAAATTACACTTCTTAGTTCACCAACAACATGTCTGAACTGAATTTATAGGGACACTTTCCAAATGCGATAAGGAGAAAGTAATATTTTGGCTTTCTAAATTCCACCTAGCTTCCTTGTGGGAAAAGGAAAGTAAATATCAAAATATTATTAACACAGTTTAATCCCCCCTTCTTTCAGGATACAAATAAAAACAACTTCTCCTAGTAAGATACGGGGAAATCCAATCACTAGTGAATCCACCACTCTGACACTGACAGGAAAGTGAAGGAATGCTGGTCATTTTGTTTTAAGACCGTTATTTCCAGTTAACATATTGTTTGATTTGAAAGGGGTTTCTCTGTTATAATACATGGCATCATGTTTTTGTTTTGAAGGAAAATTCAGAGCAATCTTTGGCAAAGGACCCACTAGTGTAGTGGTTTGGAGTATTTACTCCTTCAGACAAGGTCCTAGATTTGAATCCTAGCATCCGTGTAGTGTGTATGAGTTTAGTATGCTATCGCCTCTCTCAATAGAAAAAGTTCTATAAAAAAAAAGACATTAGTGAAGAACTAATTAATGAATATTATAAATTGAAGAGCACAGGCAAAGGCACTGCTTGTTTTTTTTAACAGCCATGTGGTGGTTGTTAGTTGAAACCGTTGATTATTCTCACTCTCACATACATACATACATACATACAAACATACAAACATACATACGGAGGATGTTTATGTTATGTTGATACTACCAATTAACAAAAGATTAAAGCGAGTTTGGAGTGTTTAGTACAACAAATGCCACCGTTTGTGAGAACTGATCAAAGCTGGTCATGAAAACTAACAAAACTGATCTCTAGCGAGCTAGATTATATATTATCACATATCTGCACGATATAATTATAATATATATGAAATAGAGAGATGAAGAATCTTTCACAAGTATTGTGGTTGAACGTAACGGAGGATAATATGGGCCCTTTTTGTGTGGAAATCCCTCCCACAGTTCACTCTGCCGGTATTTGGACTTGATGGTGGTGCTGTGTCCGGTGGAGACTGAAGTTCTACATTTCCAGTCCTCGAAAGGCAAATGGGTTTGGCTTTCTTCACCACCCAAATCCTTCATCACATTCTCAGGTGTTTTGGGATTCCCGTCTTTGTCTCTCAAATGCTGGTATGTTAACGTATCTATACTATATATGTAAATTGCATGCAGGCAGGTTTGATCCTTGGTCCAGGGGTTCTGGGGAGTATACCTTCGTAATTGGCACTCACACTGTTTGGGTACTCAAAGAGGTACCTTCCGTACTCGGATCTACATTTTCGTTTTTCTTATCTTTGTTATATCTTCATTTTCCGTCTCACCAGCATTTGTCTTATTTTCTCCCACAGCTGGTTCCCGTACAACCTCAGCCCCTGGTTCAGTTGCCTTCCGTAAATCTTCAGTGTTCTCCTTCACAGCATTTTCCGAATCCACCATTAACAAATGAACTGAGAAAATTAAATTAAAGAATCGGTGCCTTGACTGTTTGGGAATTCAATGTCTGCAGATCATTCAGAAATTATACTTTTTTGCATAGCCAAGATAATCAGACAAACAAGGATATTAAACTCATAGATTATTACTGCCAAATGCAGAGAAAACTTAATCAGGCACTCAATGCATTTTTCTTATCCACTATTCTTCATCACATACATAGACACACAACAGAAAAAACAAATTGCAAGTCAATAACTAAACCAGTAAACATAAATCAAATACGAATTAGAATCACCTACAAAAAAAAACACCAAAATTCCCACAAGAAAGAAAATTGAACAAAACTTCCAGGGTTTTGAACACCAGATTCCTAGGCAGGGAGAATGAGCCCACAATGTCATTACAAATCACATTGAGTTTCTTAAGTTACCTGCCACTGAGAAGAGGCTAAAAGCAACCTTGGACAAATTGACTTCAGATATTCATTCATAGGCAGAATCAGGTGTCATCTGCTTCAAGTAATTTGTTATTTTCAGAGTTTAGTACTAACCAGGTAGCAGATAACAAAGTTTACATCTCAGTAGATACAAGTAGAAAATGATGACTTAACACAAAACCCCCTTACTGAAGAAACAACTGCTTTAAAAAATTCCAATTAAATGATTTTTTGTACCCTCAAAATAAAATTCCACAAAAGCAGTTCGGAAATGACACAATTCAACAAAAAATATCTCTTGACGATTCTAAAAATTCATCCCCAAAGAAAAAAACATGAGCAGTCTAGATGGTCCAAGATATTCTAACCATCCAAATTTATTTATACTGGAAAAATCCAGAAGGGAAGCCTCACACTTGCACCCTTGCATATCAGAACGATGCTGGATGAGTGTATTTGGCTTCAACTGTTTTATGACTCATGTCATTTGTATCTAGTCAAGAACAGAATGTGCTAGGTACATAGAGCCTAGTTTATGCTAAATCGTGAAATATCAGATGCTATTCAACATAATCAAATCAAAGATGCAAAAATGCTTACCATGAATGAAGTCTACAGCACAACATGTATCACTCAGTGATGGTGCAAAGCAGTAATCTCTTGTAGGAATCACCAGATGGTTACTTCCGTGGCACTGCCAAAAGTTTAATGGTTAGATTAGAGCCGAAAAAATAATGTAAACAAAAAAAAAACAAAACAAAACAAAAAAAAAAATGCAGAAGTTCTAGTCAAGTATAGACATGACCCAAGTCAATTTTAATTCAGAGCATTCGCGTATTAATACATACAATAGTATGGCAAAGCACCAGCTAATCCTGTCAGATACTTATGGCATTTTGGGAATGCTTCTTCTACTGAGAACCACTTTTGTTAGAAGCACAACAAAGTTTTACTAAAAAACCAAGTGACTCCTGAATGCACTTGCAAGCACTTCCTGGGGGAAGCACATAACCTAGAAGCACTTGTAACCTTTTCTATCAACCGTTGCCAAAAGCTCTTTTGGCTATCAGAAAGTACTTTTAGCACTTATAAAGGCATAGCCACACAAGCCCTAAATATTTCATGCAATATATATATAAACATATAAACTCTGAGCAGCAATAATATTTCATTTGAAAGAAAAATGTATCGGTTTATCTCCAACCATGCAAACTCTGAGAATGCAAATCTAGGAAACCACTAACATGATATAAAGACGTTGGAACCAAAGTCTTGTATGGCTCATTAAGTGTGATGACTCCATCGAACTCCACATGCAAACTCAATAAATTTCTTTCATTTAATATAATTAACTGCATCGCATTTACATCTATAATTAACGGAGATCAAAACAAAACATAAACAAAAATTGCAAATTAATTCACAGCTGCAGAAAAAGGATACACACTCACATTAAAAAAATAAAAATAAAAGAAAAGGAGAAAAAGATCCCAGTCACTTTCACAAGCTATCCAATCGAAATCAGAATTCAAAATGAACCAGACACCTAAACAAATTTTATATATATATGACAAACAAATATAAGCATAAACGGGCTTGATAAAATTATATTTGTACCTCATCGACCTTGTCCCACCACAGAAACTCAGCCTAAAGCTTATTCCCAATGACATTTTAAAGCAGAGTTGGGTAAAACAGCGCATGAGCCCCTGCACTGATAAACCCGTTTTGCATCCGAACCAACAATGCTTCTGCTACCAAAATTGTATTTCCAGGGCATGAATTCCCTTCTTCCACACCTACCAACTTAACTCACTGATTGTTTTCTACTAGGTTTGAGACTTTGAGCTTAGGAGAAGAACCCAATTCCAGATAAGCAAAGAAAATCCATAAAAACAGGTGAGCATTGTCTTTTGTTAAACTTCAAAATGCAATTCTACCCACATGCTTGACTAACTCCTCATCTCCGGATTTCTTCAGGATCTCAGCTATACTGTCAACATAAGGAGCTTTCAGCTTAATTTCTTTCTTTAGCATTAGCCTTGCCAGCTTTGCCGCCTCCACTAAATGCTTTTGTTCACAAAGGCCCACTAAAAGAATTGAGTAAGTATCAGAGTCAATGGAAGACAAGCATTCCATCTTCTCAAGTTCATCAAACAAGCAAAATCCATCTATCACCCGTCCTTCCAAACAAATCTTTTTTAACATAATGCTACACGCCAAACTATTTGGTTTCACTCCACTATCAAGCATCATCCTCAAGACCTTCTCTGCCTCTTCAGGTTTTCTACCTCTTGCCAAAGACACAACAAGAGAGCTATAGCAATCACTATATGTAACACTGCGTCCCACAACAACTCTATCAATCAGTTTATAAGCCTCTTCAACTTGATCCTCCATACAAAAACTCTTAATTAGAGCACTAACCGTTACGCGACTTGGGGCACATCCACAAGCTTCCATTCGGTCCAAAATAACCAACGCCTCTTTCAACCGACCCTTGTCACAAAGCTTTTGAATCACAGACGTATATGTTACTACATTAGGGCTACAATCCCCACCTTCCTTCTCCATCTCTGTCAATAACTCCAAAGCTCTCTCCATTTTCTCAGACCTACAAAACCCATCAAGAAGTGCTGAGTACACCACAGCATTAGGCAAACAACCATGTCCCTTCATAACCTTAAACAACCCACAAGCATCATCTAACCGACCCACCTTACAAAACCCCTTAATCATTACCATGTACGTGATCAAATCGGGCAAAAGATCCACCAAGCCCATCTCTTTCACCAAACTTTCAGCCGTATTCATATCACCTTTATCGCAAAACAACCTTATAACAACATTATACACAGTAGTATCTGGACGCAAACCAAAATCCGGTATTTTCCTTAATACCCTCAAAGCTTCATCGGCAAGCTTAGCTTCTTTACATAAATTAAAGACAACCTTAAATGCCTTAAGACTAACAAAGCGCCCTTCAATTCTATAAGCTTCCAAAACATCAAAAATCACACTTGGGTTTAGCTTAATCTCACACAGTTCACAAGCTTTGCTGTACATTAAATAGCTATGCCTATAACTGGAGTGAAGACCAGCCCATATGAAAAACCTAAGACCCATTTGGGATTGGCTACGATAGCATCTCTTTAAGACCTGACTTACACATTTGGAGTCCAAGTGGACATTGATTGATGAAAGGGTTTTCTCAATGTTGCCACCATTTTCCTGCAGCCGATTGTAGACTATCTCCCCATCTGAGGCAGCAGAGAACCGCAAGATTGAGAATTTGTGACTTTTGCGGCCAACTGAGGAGGACATGAACCGAGAGATTGAAGAAAGGGTCATCATTTTAAGGAAATTTCAAAGGTTTGATCCAAATATGATTAAATCCTAAATGCTGCAAGGGACCGTGGACTCCTAGTCACGCAAACAGGGCTGCTGATGCGCGGCTGCTTTAGGGGTGCGAAGCGGAGGATGAGCGACGAAATTTGAGCGGTGTGAGCGCCACAAACATCTAAATTACGGGAGGGGATTCAAACTCGGTGCAGCGATTAAAGTAAGCCAAATTGAATTTCAAAAGGGTAATTTGAGTCATTTTATTTGAACCCAACAATTTTTTATTGGGAGTTTCACTAAAATACCCAAAATGGGGGCTGAAATTATAAACATACCCAACACTCAAAACACTTTATAAATATACCCAAAACTCATCATTACACACACTCAAAACCCATTTATAAACATACCCAAAACCCATCATTACACACATACCCAAAACCCATTTTGGATATGTTTCTATGTTTAAATAGTGCTTGGGTATTTTTATAAATACATGTCTAGGATCGAGTATTTTTATAAATATCTATTTTTTATTTTACCCCACACTTTTCATACTCACATATTAGTGAAATTTAAATTTATTCTCCTAAATTACTCTCACTAACATAAATCCATCACACACATTTTATATTGGATTAATTACAATTTAGTATCATGTGGTTATACTTTTGAGACATGTTAATTCATATCTTCTCAATTTTAACAACACATACATCGGTTTTTTAAATTTGTAACAATGTGGTTCCGTCATTAGAGTTTTTGTCAGATCTCTCTATTAGTTGCCTACCACTGTGGGTTCGAAATTTTTCACATTTTAGGGATGTGTTTTCTCTTTTAAATGCTAGGATTGGACCTTGTTCTTCTGTACATATATGAAAAATTCCTCTAAGGCAATTAGAGATGTGTTTTCCATTTGTCGAAGAAAATCGCGATTTTTTTTGGGGTTCTGGGTTCTTTTGGAGGAAGGGAGCACTGGGTGGAGGGTGGCTGCTATTGGCTATCCAATAGAGAAACCATGTTTGTGGAAACGTCTAGGATCGGATCTTGTAAATCATTTCCATCTAATTCAATATATATATAAGGTTGTTGCTATTGACTATCCAATAAAACACTGAAGAATTTGAAGGATTATCAAAAAGTTGAAGGACTTGGAGAGAGGTGGAAGAATTAATAAAGGAAAGTGATCTACGATCAACATCAGGAACATTACATGAAGATTATTATGAAGCTCTATGAGAGAGAGAGAGAGAGAGAGATTTAAATTTTTTTTTGTTTTTAATATTTTATTTATATTTTAATCAATTTTAAATTAAAAAAATGTGAAAAATATGGGACCCACAGTGCCACATAGGCAACTAACAAAGAGATCTGACAGAAACCCTAACGGCGGAATTGATCAGTGCATAATTGTATATAATTTTGTATCCTTCTAGCTTATGATTTTGTTATGTTTTTGAGTTAAATTTATGCTTTTAATCTCTTTTGTGTTTGTTTTAGTGTATTAAGCTTTGAGACTCATTTAATGCATTTTGAAGTCAAGTTAGCTCAAAATTGTGTTTGCAGATCAGTCAACTTCATGGATTGGATTGTACATGCTTAGGAAGAACCAGCTAATAAGCCATACACCATTGGAAAGATGTGTAAGTCTAGTTTCTGGAGCATTTTATGGTTCATGATTCTAAGTCTTCTAGAGGAAGTTATGCAAGTTTTGGAAGCTTAAGGTGAAATTCAACAGCATCTGCGTTACTATGCCAAAAATGATATTTGAAGGCCTTTCCAATTTTTCCTTGAGCTGGCTACATATGGTTGGAAAGATAAGACAAAGAGCTTCAAGACCCATATTTTTCCAAAATTTTATGAATGGAGGAACATGCCCAAAATGAGCCTACAAGCATATTGAAATGTATTGTCATGCATGACATACGCATGAGCTAATTGTTTTTTGTAGGGAAGTTAGGTAAAGTTGGTGAAGTGGGTGTTGTAGGTAGAAGCAATACTCAATTCAAATTTTTACTTCTCTTAGGCCTATAAATAATGAGGTTTCCCAAGCTTTCAAACACACCCTAAGGGGGGGAGCTCTCAAACACCTCTCTAGAGCTCCTCTCCTTTCTTTTCCTCAAATCTCTTCTCAAACAAACCCCAAGGAGGGGAGCTCTCAAACATCTCTCTAGAGCTCCTCTCCTTTCTTTTCCTCAAATCTCTTCTCAAACAAACCCCAAGGAGGGGAGCTCTCAAACCCCTCTCTAGAGCTCCTCTCCCTTCTCTTCCTCAAATTCTCTAAGTTCTCAAACACACCCCAAGGGGAGGGAGCTCTCAAACACCTCTCTAGAGCTCCTCTCCCTTCTCTTCCTCAAATTCTCTAAGTTCTCAAACACACCCCAAGGGGGGGGAGCTCTCAAACACCTCTCTAGAGCTCCTCTCCATTCTCTTCCTCAAAATCTCTAAGTTCACAAACACCTCTCCTTTCTCTTCATCAAATTCTCTAAGTTCTCAAACACACCCCAAGGGGGGGAGCTCTCAAACACTTCTTTAGAGCTCCTCTCCCTTCTCTCCCTCAAATTCTCTTAGTTTTTCTTTTAAGTTCACAATTGTTGTAACAAAACCCTTTTGCTAAATTTTCCTTTATGTTTTTCTTAATTGTAATTTATTTTTCATTATCATGTAATTTCTTATTTTAAGTTTTCAAATTTAATTAGTTTACAAGTTTCAATTACGTTTCTTGTTCTTATTCATTATGCTTATAAGTTAATATGCTTGTTTGAATAATTAATCACCATTAAAACTTGTATGCTAGCTATCTTGGTTGGAATTAAGAGTAGACACCATATGCTTTAATTTGAATTGAACTATGAATAGAAAGAGTATATATGGACATTCGACAACAGGGATTGGATACATGCTTGGTTGTTTAAAACATTCTTCTATGCTTAATGGATTTCTAATGCTTAATTTAGGTTCGACAACAAAGATCTAATTAGGAAATTAGGAATACACGGTTAGGACCAAACACCATGGCTTAATCATACTTTAGCTAGAATCAATCTGAGAATCTGAATTGAACTTGTTAACTTATTTGCTTGAGTTAGTTTCTTTTCTTTCTTTCTTGTTGTATGTTATCTTCTTTTTTGTTTTCTGTTTTGTGCAAAGAATCAAATTGAATCAATCTGTCATCAATCCTTGTGGAATCGACCTCGCACTTACATATGCTATACTACCAAAAGGCTCGTGCACTTGCAAGTATCACAAGTTGAGGATGCAGTTGGATCAATTTTGGCGCAACTAATCCAACAACAACAAGAACCACATTGTAACAAATTTAAAAGACCAGGATATGTGATTGTTAAAATTGAGAAGATAAGGACTAACGTGTCTTAAGGGTATAACCACAGGGTACTAAACTTTAATTAACCCTTTTATATTCACACCCAATCACTTATTATTCAAATAACATACTCACTTATTATTCAAATCCTGCATAACTTCTTCCTCAACTCATTTTCGAAAACCCCATCGCTCCATCACTTTGCAAACCCTAAGGCTGACCCCACCAGTTCTGCGACAATACACTGAATACCTCTCACATATGCAATACAACTTTATCGAATGATAATGATGCATTCCGTAGCTACCTACCAAATTTTGAATTGTTTGTCGGTGATGTTTCATTGAATCATAATGATGCATTTAGTGTCTATTTAATATTTTAGTAGCTTTCTACCAAATTTTGAATTGTTTTTTTGTGTTTATTTAAGATTTGAGTAGCTATATACTATTACAATGAAACTGCAATCAGGGGGCCTTAGTAAGCTAGATGATTTATGAGCCTCGATGTTTTCATGGGAATAATCTACTGTCTTTTTTTATTAAAATAGCAAATGGGCTTTATAAAAGCTCCATGAATGAAAGACAAGTTGATTTGAGCAAATTATACTGTCTCTTTCTTCCTCTTATTTCTCCCTACATATTCTCTAGTTTTATAACACATAATTGATATTGAAAACCATGAAGAATTATATATATATTTTTAAGAATATTGGGTACATGAATGTCAAATTATAATAATATAGCTTGGATGGAGCCCTTAATGCATGTATAGGGCCAGACGAAATATCAATCCAGTCCATATATTGGGTGGAATAGCAATCCACCTTTCGCCTGGACTGAAAATTGGCGGAGCCCAGTTACACAAGCCACTTGCTCCTATGTGCAAAGTCAGATTTGTGGACCCATTGTGTTAGCCACACCTAGGGGCACGTGGATGGCAATATTAATACTGTTGTTGGAATCAGATGGCCATAATTGAAACTTGCTTTTGTTTTGTTTTTTCAAATTGTTCCCAACGGCTATATGATCAAATGCTAGGATTACTTCTTAACAATTTCAACAGAAATAAAATAGATCCAATGATAAAAATCAAATCCAACGGTAAAATAAAAAAAAAATTATTATAAATCATATGTAATGCCAAAACTCATCCCAAACCCTATAAATATTCATCTATTTTGTTAAATAATCCACCAAAATCAATTTTTCATTTCTCACTTTGATAATTCTATACATTCTCCTTTCAATCCTTTTCAATATGGCCCCAAAACCCCAAAGATGTGTGAATTGGAGACCACAAGAAGATGAGGCTTTATGTAGAAGCAAGTGACACATTTTGGGTTCATGTGTACCAAAGTTTTTAGAGAATAACTAGGGCATGGCTAGGTCTGAGCCTCGAACATCACAAGCTATAGATTCTCAGTTCAAAATCATCAACCAACAATGCTCTCTTTGGAAGACCTATCTGACTAAAGCCAATGCAAGCCCTGCAAGTGGGTATAATCTTAGTGATGTGGTTAGTACCCATTTTATTCAAGCTTTAAATTTGTTATTATAATTTTATTCAAGTCTCAACTTATTCCTTCTTTTTGGATAATTTTTTGGAGGTCTTCAACTTGTTTGAGAACAAGTTTGGAATCTACCATCTTGAAGTCCAGAAATCTGCCTACAACAAATTTCTTGGATCCTACATCTTCAGTTTTATACTTTTTCTCAAGAGATTCCCAAACTTCTCTAATTGTCTTGAATGTTGCATAAACATCATATAGTGTATCATCCAACCCATTTAAGATATAGTTCCTACTAGGGGTGGGCATCAAAATCAGAATACCAAAATCGTGCCAATCTCATGTCGTCCCATTTGGTGTTGAAGTGTAAACGGGATGATACCGTGTCATCC